TTGGCTAGCTCGGCTCGGCTTATTTTGGTTAGGCTCAACTTATATCGGCTTAGCTCAGCTCAAGAGAATTTATTATGAACCGATCGGATGGGAGCTGAGCCGAGTTGATTATAGCCAAAATAAGCCGAGCTGAGCTCACAATCGGCTAGCTCCAAAGCCCAAAAATGAGAAAACCACGTAAAAATTGAGAGAAAAACAAAAACGTGACTAAGATGCGGACGGTTTACATTATGGAAGAGACACATGTACATGTGATAAAAATATAAATATTAAAATAGAAATAGATATTTTTTAGAAATAGATATTTTTGATTTGAAATAATCTAATTCATACATATTTATATATATGTAGCCATAGTCTTATATATATACTGTAACAAGTTCTCACTCTCAAATTTGACTCTAGATAAATCCCAAAACTACTCCTTACTCATGTTCTCGGTGAGGGCCAATCCATATTTCATTGATTCACGTCCCCACTAACAATCTACTGATCTACTCTCTTTTCTCTCTCTGCGTATCTTGATAAGAAACCGATCCATCTCTCTCAATGCATTTCTTGATCATAGAGCTAGCCGGCATGAATCTTTTCAAATATCTTCCTCTAGTTTAGACCATAAGGCTTCATTAGTCATTGATCAGAAATCCATTAATCTTTTTCTTCTACTTTTACAATCAAGAAAATGGCGAAGGGTACTTCAAGCGAAGATGACGAGCTCAACAACGAGAGCCACCCAAAAAGGAGAAACTATTTTGGTGGCTTTTACAGGAGAAGAGCTCATCGAGAGCAAGATGGGTCCAATTCTCACTCTAACTACAAGCAGGAAAGCAATCTTCTCAACTTTCTTAGAAACTTGAATACTTAAACATAATCCTTAGTTGTCATTAGTCTCTGCTTGATCTTAGTCTGATAATTGTGTTTGCTTCTCTCTCTACGCTCCCCATTTATTTAATATGTATGAAGTGTGGTGTTGATTTTTTGCTTGTGATGATGTTGAAGGGTAATTCGTCCAATATATTTGAAATATAAATTTAAAACTATCGAGAATTTAATTCTTGTATTTTAGCATGTTCTTGTATCCTTCAAAATCAAATCGGAATGGGCTTTGCCTCTTTTACAGGGAATGGCTTTGTCCCCTCAAAACCCTTAGTCCACAACAGGATCACAAGCTCATGTTTGGTCTCGTTTTCTTTGTCAAGTCCTTCACTACCAAGATGGATCCGTCACGTAAGCCCGAAAACCTAACCTCTCTCTTCTCCTACTTTATCTCTCCACATTTCTTACATCAAATTTATATTCTAACATCCTTCTCATTTAAGCTTTTGCATGGATGGCTATGCATGGAAGATGGTTTGCTGGCCCAATCTGCCATATTTCTTTCCTCTTATTGTAATATGGCTTCTTTTTTTAGCATTTATGGATGCCTCTATTTGGGTATAGACACAGACATGGCATGAGTTTTTTGTGAAGTGGAATAAATTTTGAAAGTAAGGGATAGGGGTATCTCTCAAATTTTAGTTTTGATGTGCCACTGTTCAGTTTGCTTCTATAGCAATGAACTTTGTAAAAGTTTTGTTTTCGCAATTTCTGAAGGGTATCAGATCCTTAATAGATGGTCAAATGTATTTCATGTCAAAAGGTATGGACCATTAGAGGTTATTGGATTGGAACTTGACCATATAAATTCTACAAAGTTGAGTCTTTGCTCTGTTGGAGAGGCTGAATTTGTATGATTATAGATGGGGCCCTCCCTTGCAGTGGAAGGGGATTCAATGAAGAACATGTATACTACACTCCCTCAGGAGCATAGTGTACTTCTTCTCCCTCGGTCAGATGACCTACTTGGAGGATTTTTTCAATCTAAAATTTTGATAACCACCTTATAATCACTAGATGATTATTTTAAAAAAAAAATTTGCAATTTGAATTTTCTAACACTTAAATCTCATCCTCTAAAATTAGACGGTTTCTATTCAAGCTTGAGACATTTTTTTTTTCAAGTGCTTTGATGGTGCAATTAGGAAATTTCTTCTATTGATGCTAATCTATGTGTTAAAGAGGTTATATCCCCTAAAACTAGTCTTAGGTGGGGTTTTTTCTGAGGGAGTAAATGGACAGTATACTCCTGAGGGAGTAGAATATCTTTTGGCTTCAATGAATGTTATTGGATTGGCCTCAATCAAGTACCCTGTCCCTAGCATCTCGAACCATTTTTTTGACCGATTCTTCATGATTTGCAGCTCTATGGAAGTCTTCCTCTGAGGTCTTTCAAGGATCGGATTATGGAAAAACATACATGCAATATTGTATTTGAACACATCACCATATTTTGTTAAATTTTTTACAGTCATGCAATATTGTAATTCACTCTATGTCTATCCAGTTTATCAACTAGGTACCACCAAGGTGTCTCTGCCTTTCTAAGTTTTCCTTTTTAGGGTGAAAAAATTCCATTATTTTTCTGTAGATGAGATGAATCTAGTTGTATGTAGCTGTGTTGGTCTCAAAAAGCCCATAAAATTTATCTTTAATTGTTTATATAGGAGATAACATGGATGGTGAGAGATTGAGATACACTTCACCTTGCTATGTGCACATTAATATATGATTGGAGAGAGAGAGGTATACAAATTTACACATCTCCTTTTTGTAATTTTGTTCGTGTTTAATTGTAATGTTATGTGTATTGGTTTTAACGCCAAATGTTGTGACTGTTGGGGGCATAGCTATTTATTTATAAATCGTAGTAGATGGTGTGTGTCTCTTGCAATTTTTTATCATTATTGATATTTATTTATATTTGTAAGATAGCTTTTGAGAATTGGGGTTTGACAATCTCTGTCTTCTTCTTTCTTGCAGTGCTGGTTCCCCCAATTACCAGGTCAAGGATGCTCTATTCATAGCTTTCGAACAATCACATGCAAACTGAGCTTTAAGGAGAGTTCCTCTAGGATTACGGTGGAGTTTCTTTCTATTATATGCATTCTTCATTTTTTATTTGCATTAACAAGGTTGCTTTTTGTTGAGTTAAATTCATTTTCTTTCTCCTCTTCGTTTTCTCTTTCTCTTCCGATATAAACTTCTTCAAAAATAGAAAAAAGAAAAAAAACTTAATTTACCTAGGCAATTTCCATTTACTCCAAGCAAATATCTAAACAATTCTTAGACATGCTTAGCTGAAGTGTACCTAGGCAAATTCCATTTACACCAGGTAATATCTAAACAATTCTGAGACATGTTTAGCTGAAGTGCCCTCAGTCAACTATGAAGTAGCCATGTTAATGCTTTTCTAAATCAAATTTGAATTCTAACATCCTTCTCATTTAAGCATGGATTGGCTATGCATGGAAAATTGTTTGTGGCCCAATTTGCCATATTTATTTCCTCTTATTCCAATATGGCTTCTTTTTTTTAGTTGTTATGTGTATTGGTTTTAACGCCAAATGTGGTGACTATTTGGAGGCATAGCTTTTATTTATTTCTCAATTATAGTAGATAGTGTGTGTCTCTTGCAATTTTTTATCATTATTGATTTTTATTTATATTTGCAAGATAGCTTTACGGAATTGGGGTTTGACAATCTCTGTCTTCTTCTTTCTTGCAGTGCTGATGAAGGAAATCTTAGGTTCTCCCAATTACCACCAGGTTAAGAATGCTCTTTTTATAGCTTTGGAACAAACACATACAAACTGAGCTTTATGGAGAGTCCCTCTGGAATTAAGGTGGAGTTTCTTTATATTATATGCGTTCTTCATTTTTTTATTTGCATTAACATGGTTGCATTTTGTTGAGTGAAATTCATTCTTTTTCTCCTATTTGTTTTCTCTGTCTCTTTCGATGTAAACTTCTTCAAAAAAAGAAAAACGACAAAGAGCTGAATGTACCCAAGCAATTTCCATTTACACCAGGCAATATCTAAACAATTCTTAGACATGCTTAGCTGAAGTTCTCTCAGTCAACTATAGAGTAGCCATGTTAAATCTTTTCTAAATCAAATTTGAATTCTAACATCCTTCTCATTCGTTTGTGGCCCAATCTGCCATATTTATTTCCTCTTATTTCAATATGGCTTTTTTTTTTAGCTGTTATGTGTATTGATTTTAATGCTAAAGGTTGTGACTATTTGGAGGCATAGCTTTTATTTATTTCTCAACTATAGTAGATAGTGTGTGTCTCTTGCAATTTTTTATCATTAGTGATTTTTATTTATATTTGTAAGATAGATTTTGAGAATTGGGCTTTGACAATCTCTGTCATCTTATTTCTTGCAGTGCTGAATGAGGAAATCTTCGGTTCCCCCCATTACCAAGTCCAGGATACTCTTTTCATAGCTTTCGAACAAACACATACAAACTGAGCTTTATGGAGAGTCCTTCTGGGATTATGGTGGAGTTTCTTTCTATTATATGCATTCTTCAGTTTTTATTTGCATTCTTCAGTTTTTATTTGCATAAACATTGTTGCATTTTGTTGAGTGAAATTCATTCTCTTTCTCCCCTTTGTTTTCTCTTTCTCTTCCGATATAAACTTCCTCTAAAACATAAAAAAGATAAAGAGCTGAATGTACCTAGGCAATTTCCATTTACACCAGGCAATATCTAAACAATTCTAAGACATGCTTAGCTGAAGAGGTCTCAGTCAACTATGCAGTAGCCATGTGAATGCTTTTCTAAATCAAATTTGAATTCTAACATCCTTCTCAATTAAGCATGGATTGGCTATGCATGGAAATTTGTTTGTGGCCCAATTTGCCATATTTATTTCCTCTTATTCCAATGTGGCTTCTTTTTTTTAACTGTTATGTCTATTGGTTTTAACGCCAAATGTTGTGACTGTTTGGGGGCATAGCTTTTATTTATTTCTCAATTATAGTAGATAGTGTGTGTCTCTTGCAATTTTTGATCATTATTGATTTTTATTTATATTTGTAAGATAGCTTTTGAGAATTGGGGTTTGACAATCTCTATCTTCTTCTTTCTTACTGTGTTGATGGAGGAAATCTTGGGCTCCCCCAATTACCAGGTCAAGGATACTCCTTTCATAGCTTTCGAACAAACACATACAAACTGAGCTTTATTGAGAGTCCCTTTGGGATTAAGGTGGGGTTTCTTTCTATTATATGCATTCTTCAGTTTTTATTTGCATTAACATGGTTGCATTTTGCTGAGTAAAATTCATTCTCTTTCTCCTCTTTGTTTTATCTTTCTCTTCCGATATAAACTTCCTCAAAAAAAGAAAAAAGATAAAGAGCTGAATGTACCTAGGCAATTTCCATTTACACCAGGCAATCTAAACAATTCTTGGACATGCTTTGCTGAAATGCTCTCAGTCAACTATGGAGTAGCAATGTGAAGGCTTTCTAAATCAAATTTGAATTCTAACATCCTTCTCATTTAAGCATGGATTGGCTAATGCATGGAAAATGGTTTGTGGCCCAATCTGCCATATTTATTTCCTCCTATTACAATATAGCTTATTTTTTTTAGCTGTTATGTGTATTGGTTTTAACGCCATATGTTGTGACTGTTTGGGGGTATAGCTTTTATTTATTTCTCAATTATAGTAGATAGTGTGTGTCTCTTGTAATTTTTTATCATTATTGATTTTTATTTATATTTGTAATATAGCTTTTGAGATTTGGGGTTTGACAATCTCTGTCTTCTTCTTTGTTGCAATGCTGACGAAGGAAATCTTGGGTTCCCCCCATTACCAGGTCAAGGATGCTCTTTTCATAGCTTTCGAACAAACACATACAAACAGATCTTTATGGAGAGTCCCTCGGAGATTAAGGTGGAGTTTCTTTCGATTTTGTGCATTCTTTTTATTTGCATTAACATGATTGCATTTTGTTGAGTAAAATTCATTCTTTTTCTCCTCTTTTTTTTCTCCTTCTTTTCCGATATAAACTTCCTCAAAAAAAGGAAAAAGATATAGAGCTGAATGTCCCTAGTCAATTTCCATTTACACCAGGCAATATCTAAACAATTCTTAGACATGCTTAGTTGAAGTGCTCTCAGTCAACTATGGAGTAGCTATGTGAATGCCTTTCTAAATCAAATTTGAATTCTAACATCCTTCTCATTTAAGCATGGATTGGCTATGCATGGAAAGTGGTTTGTGGTCCAATGTGCCATATTTATTACCTTTTATTCCACTATGGCTTATGTTATTCCAATGTATATTGGTTTTAACGCCAAATGTTGTGACTGTTTGGGGGCATAGCTTTTATTTAGTTCTCAATTTTAGTAGATAGTGTGTGTCTCTTGCAATTTTTTAGCATTATTGATTTTTATTTATATGTGTAAGATAGCTTTTGTGAATTGGGATTTGACAACTTCTTTCTTGTAGTGTTGAATGAGGAAATCTTGGATTCCCCCCGTTACCAGGTCAAGTACATACAAACTGGGCTTTATGGAGAGTCCCTTTGGGATTAAGGTGGTGTTTCTTTCTACTTTATGCGTTCTTCATTTTTTATTGGCATTAACATGGTTGCATTTTGTTGAGTGAAATTCATTCTCTTTCTCTTTGTTTTCTCTTTCTCTTCCGATATAAACTTCCTCAAAAAGAAAAGAAAAGATAAAGAGCTGAATGTAAGGCAATTTCCATTTACACTAGGCTATATCTAAACAATTCTTATGCATGCTTAGCTAAAGTACTCGCAGTCAACTATGGAGTAGCCATGTTAATACTTTTCTAAATCAAATTTGAATTCTAACATCCTTCTCATTTAAGCATGGATTGGCTAATGCATGGAAAATGGTTTGTGGCCCAATCTGCCATATTTATTTTCTCTTATTCCAATATGGCTTCTTTTTTTTAGCTGTTATGTGCATTGGTTTTAACGCCATATGTTGTGACTGTTTGGGGGTATAGCTTTTATTTATTTCTCAATTATAGTAGATAGTGTGTGTCTCTTGTAATTTTTTATCATTATTGATTTTATTTATATTTGTAAGATAGCTTTTGAGATTTGGGGTTTGACAATCTCTGTCTTCTTCTTTTTTGCAATGCTGATGAAGGAAATCTTGGGTTCCCCCCATTACCAGGTCAAGGATGCTCTTTTCATAACTTTCGTACAAACACATACAAATTGATCTTTATGGAGAGTCCCTCTGAGATTAAGGTGGAGTTTTTTTCTATTATATGCATTCTTTTTATTTGCATTAACATGGTTGCATTTTGTTGAGTGAAATTCATTATTTTTCTCCTCTTTGTTTCTCCTTCTTTTTCGATATAAACTTCCTCAAAAAAAGATATAGAGCCGAATGTCCCTAGGCAATTTCCTTTTATACCAGGCAATATCTAAACAATTCTTAAACATGCTTATCTGAAGTGCTCTCAGTCAACTATGGAGTAGCTATGTGAATGCCTTTTAAATCAAATTTGAATTCTAACATCCTTCTCATTTAAGCATGGATTGGCTATGCATGGAAAGTGGTTTGTGGGCCAATGTGCCATATTTATTACCTCTTATTCCAATATGGCTTATGTTATTCCAATGTGTATTGGTTTTAACGCCAAATGTTGTGACTGTTTGGGGGCATAGCTTTTATTTAGTTCTCAATTATAGTAGATAGTGTGTGTCTCTTGCAATTGTTTAGCATTATTGATTTTTATTTATATTTGTAAGATAGCTTTTGTGAATTGGGATTTGACTACTTCTTTCTTGTAGTGTTGAATGAGGAAATCTTGGATTCCCCCATTAGCAGGTCAAGTACATACAAACTGAGCTTTATGGAGAGTCGCTCTGGGATTAAGGTTGAGTTTCTTTCTACTATATGCATTTTTTATTTTTTATTTGCATTAACATGGTTGCATTTTGTTGAGTGAAATTCATTCTCTTTTTCTTTGTTTTCTCTTTCTTTTCCGATATAAACTTCCTCAAAAAGAAAAGAAAAGATAAAGAGCTGAATGTAAGGCAATTTCCATTTACACCAGGCAATATCTAAACAATTCTTATGCATGCTTAGCTGAAGTCAACTATGGAGTAGCCATGTTAATACTTTTCTAAATCAAATTTGAATTCTAATATCCTTCTCATTTAAGCATGAATTGACTATGTATGGAAAATTGTTTGTAGCCCAATCTGCCATATTTATTTCCTCTTATTCCAATATGGTTTCTTTTTTTTAGCTGTTATGGCCTCTATTTAGATATAAGATAGTTCCACAGACAT